CAGGATCTTCAGTCGTCTTGGGTGCATTCTTTGAATTTGAATACCTACAAAAATGAGGATGCGTTAAACAAAGCAAAGTTGAAACAAAGCAAATGCAGTTTTTTTACAAGTGAATGTAGTCTTCCGGAGCAAACAAGATCGTCGGAAGGTCGTCCTCTTCGGCGGGAGACTTTTGCTGCGTCTTGATTTGCTTGGGTTCGGCTTTGTACCTGAAAGTGAAAAGACTGGTAGTGAAAAACTGTTCAAGTTTGCACAAATAGGTATGTACTTACAGATGAAGGTAGTCATCTGGGCCAATCAGCGAAGTATTTCCATCATCGGCGTTCTCTTCCAGAGCTGTCTGTTTGTTGTTCTTGCTGTCTGCCGATCGAGGACGAGAAACCTTCATGCTTTCATCCGACTCCTCTGACTGAATCTTCTGCTGAGTAGCTCTCTTTGCCGACTTGGGACCCTTGACCACCTTGGGAGTCTTCTTTTGGACGCTCACTTTTGCCTTCTTTTGTTTGGCCACCTTCTTCAGTGAGCTTTTCTTGTAGATAGGCGGCGGGTTCTTCAATGGCACCTTTGCTTTGGAGAGAGCCGCCGATGAGGAGCGTCCTTTTCTTGAGATAGACTTTTTCACCGATGCCTGACGACTTTTAGTAGTCTTGGACACCGAAGCGGTTGCCTTGTTAGTGCTGCGCGACTTGCGAATGGCATGCTTTAGTGAGCCAGAGCCGCTGGCGCTCTTCTTTTTCGCCGGCTTCTTTGACGAAGACTTCTTCTCGGGCATTTTCTTTTGTTTATTTTCAGGTGATGGGCAAAAAACTGAAAAAAAGTGTGTCAAAAATAACGACGAGAAAGAACAACCATAACAAGCTACAGATGACACAGGCAACAAGACTTTATGTATGAGCCAGCCACGCCAGCCTGCCAATTTCCCTTCTATGCAACAGTTCTACCACAAACACAGCCTGTTGAAAAGTTCTCATTTCATCTTTGCAAAAGCAACTTTAGAGAAGACCTGTAACTGCAGCATCACCTAGTCAACTCAGCTCACTCTCTCTCTCTTTTTCTCTTTCTTTTGCCTGTCTGCAGCATGTCTGCCCAAGCCGATCCAAGTCGGTCGGAAGAGTCACTGTCCCCGAAAAGCACTGACCCTTTGCCAGCAAACCCGGCAAACAACCAAAGCAGTGGCCCACACTACTGCGGCATTCGCAACCTCGGCTTCACCTGCTACGCCAACAGCATCCTCCAGGTGCTCTACACCTCGGAGACCACCCGTCAGCTGATTCGCGACCACCAGACGCTGGGCCTCTTCCACGCCGAACTGGGCGTCCTTTTTGACCGCATGTTCGCAAAGCTACCGCCGACAAAGAAGGACCCCAAGGGCGAGCTGATCTATCCTAGCGTCCGACCGATCAAGTTCCTCGACGAGTTTCGTGCCAAGCGACCCGAGTTTACGAAAGGCGAACAGCAGGACGCTCAGGAGTTCTTCTCCTTTCTCCTCAACTACCTTCACCAGGAGGCGAATGAGGCACAGAGAGAGGCTGCACCCGGTGAAGCGCCCACCTTCACCAGTGCAGAGCAGGCATGGGCCCACCAGGTACGGTACAGCGACAACAGTCCGTACTCGCGCCTCTTCATGGGCCAGAGCGAGTCGACGCTGACCTGTCTGGGCTGTGGCCACCAGAGCCGCAATTGGGAGTGCTTCTGGCAGCTTCAACTAGTGGTCCCGGACGATGTCACGGAGGAGGCGGCCGCCGCCGGCGTGGTCCTCCCGCCGGTCACACTGGCCAGCTGCATTGAGCAGTTTCTCTCTGAAGAGGTACGTGTGTTTTCTGTGCTTTACGTTTGTTTGTACCACCTTTTCCAGCTCTACTTTTGTTCCCACTAGATTATGCACGGCGACAGTGCGCCCACCTGTGATGGTTGCAGCAAGAAAGCGGGCTCAAAGAAGCGGCTCACCATTTGCCGACTGCCCGACATTCTGGTGATCTTCTTGAAGCGCTTCACTGTCAACGGCGGCAAGAACGAGCGCCGGGTTCCCGTGGAGGCTCAGCTGACGCTGTCCGATCGTCAGTACGCCCTCACCAGCTGCGTCTTTCACAGTGGCCAGAACAATGACGGCCACTACATGACGCTGAACAAGGAGACGGCAGAAGGGGGCGGCGGATGGACGCTCTTCAACGACCACAAGATATTTCCCGCCATGCCTGACAATGAAGTGAATGACCTTCTCTCCCCTGGTGCCTACATTGTCTTTTACCGAGCTCTACACCAGTAGACCAAAGTGTGTTCTCAACTTTTGTCGTTTATCTTTCTTTTTTGTCAATTTACAGTGATTTAGTTTGGATAAGCTTAAAATGGTGGTCATGGAGGTTGGGTGTGTGTGTATGTAATGTACAGTGCGACTAATTAATTGGAAAAAATACTATTATTACTACTGATACAGCTGATAAGGAAGTTAAAGAAGAAAATAATTAAAGTCAAATGCAACGACGTCAAGTGAAACACAAGGGTTACAAAAATAATAAAATGAGGTTGAGGCTGTCGAGAGAGTCCCACCAGAAAGAAGAAAGAGGAGTGCCACGAACCGAAAGAAAGAGAAGAAAAGATAAGATAAGAAAAAAAGAAAGAAAGAAAGAAAGAAAAGAAAAATAAGAAAAATCACAAAAGAAAAATAGTTTCGGCGTTGCTGATGATAGAGGAAAGTGAGAGAGCATGCAGGAAACGGAGTAATGGTAGCTTCAGGAAGTAATGAGTTTAGGTAAGGTGAATTTGTTTTCCAATATTCAATGTTGAAAACAGTGCAGAGAGGGAGAGAGCGAAGTATTCGACAGAGTGATGATTGGTGGTGGTGGTGGTGATTGAACAAAAGGAGAAAGTTAGGTTGCGTAGCGCTTAGTCCACTGGCGAGCGATGCGGTCGTGCTCTTCGCGGTGTTGTAAGAACTGTGTGGCAATGTTGCCGACCAGCGGGTCAGCCGGATTGCAGTCGGTGAGTAGGGAGCAGATGGACAGCAGCACCTTGGAGATGGTCAGTGCGGGACTCCAGTTGTCCTTGAGAATATCTAGGCAGATGACACCCTAAGGGAAAGTTGACAAGTTAATCAAAGGGTGACTGGGTAAAGCAATCCCTACCTGACTGTTTATATTGCAGTGGTAGATTCTTGTTCGGAAGGTAACCTTCGGCGGCTTGAACGGATATTCTACAAGACTAGTTAGTTGAAATTTGCCATTGATTAAACTCAGTCAGTTACCTGGAGTAAAGTGAATGTCCAAGAAAAAGACGCCTCCTTCGTAGACCGATCCAGGAGGCCCTAGAATGGTGGACACCCACTCGTACAGACTGTCGCCCTTGGGACCAGCGCTGTGCAAATAAATAACGTTAGCCAATGAACAAAAGCGAGCGCCTCCTAAAAAAGCACACTCCTTACCTGCAGTTCGGCGGTGGATCAAGAGTAATCTCGGCAAGCTCTTTTTGAATTCTAGGAAAGCAGGTTGTTTAGAAACAACATCACAAGTGGAAAATTTGAGACATACCGTTTCGTACTGGTGCTGAGTGCCTTTGTCATCTTGGCATTCTTGTGTTCACCGTTTTGTTTCTCAGTAGAAGTAGTGGATGCCGAGTTGTTGGTGGAATTGTTGGAGCCCCTCGCTCTAGAAGTGGTGGGCGTCGAGTGGGTGCCATTGTTCGAGGTCGTCTCACCATTCGAAGGAGCCTGAGTGGCTGCTGATGCGGCAGAGGTGGCGGTTGATGCAGCGGAAGATGCAGATGCAGATGACGAAGCAGATGAGCTGACATCAGTTGCAGTGGCGGTGCGGGCACGCTTATGGCGTTCACGTTCCAGACGGTCGTCACTCATGTTGAGTGTCTTGCTTGCGAGTTGCTGTTGTTGTGGTAGTAGTCGATGAAGCTTACTGGTGAAACCGGCGATCAGCTGGTGTCAATGTGTGAGGGTGCTGAGGTGCGAAGAGGGTAAAGGTGATAATGACGGCGACGATGAGCACGATGAAGAACGAAGAAGCAGTTTGCTCAGAGCGGCAGAATAAAGAGTCGCTGAGTATCACAGCGAGGGATGGTGGTGGTGGTGGTGGTGGTAGTGCCTGCAACTAATGCCCGGCATGCATAGGATAGTGCTGGTGGTAGTGCAGTGCTGCTGATAGTGCATCAGCACTAGGACAGCTGTCTTGTCCACTGAACTGATGCTCTCTGCACGCCGCTCAGGTATCACACCTCACTGACAAACCGAGTGAGAGTGGGAGGCGGTGTGGTAGGCGCGCTAGGGTCGGCCGGCTGTCCTGGAACAGCGATGCTCGAAGCTCAGTGGATTCGGCTACTAATGGCGTGCCGCACGGATAGACTGACAAACAACGAGCAGAGAGAGTGGAGGAGAGAGAGTAGAAGAGAGAGAGAGAGAGAGAGAGAGAGAGAGTACTGATCAGAGTGGATACGAGAAGGCTTCCCTTTGCATGCTGGCGGCGCCACTGGTCACCTTACAAAGGAAACTCGCAAATCACAGTGTGGAACTGTGTGGGCACACTGTGAACAGGCCGTAGACTTCGATTGACCGAGGAGGTGAGAGAGGACACGCTAGGGCCCGACTGATTGCGCAAGCAATGCTGCTCAGGGCTGAGTGGACACTTGGAGAGCGAAGTTCCAGGCAAGGGACAGTGATGACGATTAGTTCTATTTAAGTGACTTGTAGAGAGTAGAGCATGCCATTTGCACAAAATGTAATGCCGCTGCTGCTGCTGCTGCTGCCCAGCAATAGCCCCGTCAATGAGCGTCCATAGTCGTCGTATGGATCGCGATTGTATCAGGCGTGCGCCGCAACTCTCTCTCTCTCTCCGTTTGTCTGCTGTGAAACAGCTTTCATCATTTGACGCGGTTAGAATAGCCCACACCGGATAAGAAGTGGTGGTGCAGGGGAAAGAATGGGCTTAGGGAATGTGTTTTACTCAGAGACAGAACTGACTAGTTGAACAGAATGATAACAGAAAGTGAGTGAGGGTGACGTGGTTGATAGAGTCTTTAAGTGGTCTCAACGTGGGATAGAATNTCGTCGTATGGATCGCGATTGTATCAGGCGTGCGCCGCAACTCTCTCTCTCTCTCTCTCCGTTTGTCTGCTGTGAAACAGCTTTCATCATTTGACGCGGTTAGAATAGCCCACACCGGATAAGAAGTGGTGGTGCAGGGGAAAGAATGGGCTTAGGGAATGTGTTTTACTCAGAGACAGAACTGACTAGTTGAACAGAATGATAACAGAAAGTGAGTGAGGGTGACGTGGTTGATAGAGTCTTTAAGTGGTCTCAACGTGGGATAGAATGGTTTTTTGCTTTCATGAATCTGCGGGGCACATCACCTCGGGTATGCACTGCTGCTGGTGCCAGACTCGATTACCGATGCACTGGCATCCGGGACGACACTCGGCAGTCCGTCTCTGCTGGTGGCACTGCTCACTGCTTGATCGGCCACTCCGGCAGGTCTTGCGGCAGCCACCACTTGTGCAGGCCTTCCACTCTGATCCAGGGGGACACGAGTTGATTGTCACCTCGGTGGGTGCAGTACTTTCTGACGAAGAAAAAAAGGTTGAATTAGCTCAATTTGCAAAGCACACTATGCCTGCACCGACAGATGTCTTACTCGTGCACATGGTGCCCCTCAGTGCATTGTGCCACCGTCCACTGCAGCGGCCAATAAAGTGCTCCAGTGCTCTGCACTCGCAGAACTGGTCACCAGCACAGGCGGTCATGCTGGTGAGGCACTGCTCAAAGGCGACACTGTTGCCCGCACTGCTGGACAACTGATGATGAGGATGACCACGACGGCACTGAGGGTTGCGCTTGCGAATGCGATCACAGATGCGTCGAGAGATGGCCACCGCTTCGGCAGAAGGCCTTTCCTCACCGCTGTTCTTGCCCTTTTGATGCTGCTGCTGCTGCCGATGATGATGGTGGTGGTGCTCCTCTTTTTGCGGCAAACTCTTCACTACAAAAACTCGCCGTTTCGGGCATACTAAGTTTTGACCAACCTAAATTTGGACAAGGTAAGAAGTGGTGAGGGTGTTTGTAGCCTCACAAACTTACCTGGAAAGACCGGGCAAACTTTTCCAGTGTAGCGATTCGCCGTGTGTTTTTCAGCTGAAACTCATCATCGAGGTTGTTGTTAAAGTTGCCACATAGACCACACAAACGGCCTTGGTGAGAATTTTTCACTTTTATCTCCACGGAAGCGTTGAAAGTAAAGAGCACTTCAAACTCTGCAATCATTTATCACAATAATAATAATAAAAATTTTAATAAAAAGCGTCTCCACTTACCCATTTTAGAAACTCTCACTTTAATGCGGTTGTCGAAGCGAGCAATGGTAAAGTGACCCAGCTCAATGTACGGCAAAGTGACTTTTGAGTGATTTACCCGAACCACGCCCATGTGTCCCAGATGAATCTTGGTGCTTTCAATCTTGACCATGACCGAAGTGCCTTCAAAGTTGCTGCCATTAGCCGCTCTCCGATATCGATTGAGAAGATGAACGGCAAATTGCTTCGAGCTGCAGTCCTTCATGAGAACATAGTTGCACTGGCCGGCAAAGTGAAAGCGCACTCCATCGAAGGTGCTGATGCTCTTTTGAAGAGGATGATGCGGCTGCATTCGAAGATGACAACTCCCGCCCAACATCAGACACGATTCGCAGCACTGTCCCTTCTGCTTTACTCGCTGATAACCGGGCGGACAGATCAGTGGCTGGTGTGGACAGAGACGGGCAGTAGCAGCAGCCGAAGAGGAGCAGTGCACTTTGCCGCCCAGACAGGTGCAATGCTCACAAGTGTCACTGTTTGTCCACTGTTGACTTTCCTGTGGCCAGGTGGTGGTGGTGAGGATAGAGAAAGGATGAGTCCGCGGGGACAAGTCAATAACCCTAGTCAGTGCCCTATGCATACCTTGTAGACCTTGCTCTTGTAGTGACAGTTGCTGATAGTGCTGGTTTGCATTGTCTTGACAATGCTGCTGCTGCTGGCCAGAGCACAGCTCTCACAGCACTGCTGACCACCATCAGCAGTAAACGTCTTCTGTTTGCCCTTCTCCTCCAACGGACACGAACATGTTTGTCGATGGCAAATGCTGGTGCCGTTCTGTGTCGTGTAAATTAGATAAAACTTCAAACTCCCAAACACACATTAGTATCTTACCTGGCAGACGCAGTTGGTGCATTCGTCGTACTGAAATGCATCCTCATGCCGGTAGGTCTTGTCGGCGAGCAAGCATGAACCACCATCGGGCAGCAGCAGTTTTTGGGCGTCCTTTTTGCCTTTGCACACNCCACCATCGGGCAGCAGCAGTTTTTGGGCGTCCTTTTTGCCTTTGCACACTGGACAACACGAGTGCAACGGTTGCATCCAGTTCGACTTGGGACAGGGCAGCACCGGACAGACCTGGCGCATGCAAATGAGCTGCCCTTTAAAACAGTGACACCGAATGCAGGGGTCCTTCTTTGCGGCAGCAGTCACCACTTCCTGGCCGTCTTTGGCGTTCCACCAAGGACAAATGGTACAGGAGGGACAGCACTGGCCGCGCAGTGACACTGCATTGCTGCAGGGAACGAAGCACTGGCTTCGATGGGTGGTCATCACGCCTGACTGAAAGTCGAGATCAAGTGGGGAATGATGAAATGTACAAGAACTGATAGGGATAGCAGNGCACGCCTGACTGAAAGTCGAGATCGAGTGGGAAATGATGAAATGTACAAGAACTGATAGGGATAGCAGACACTTACATTGCACTGATAGGAGAGACAGGGATCACCGTCATCTTGTGCCGTTTCGCCATTTGCTAGGTACTTGCCGTTGAAGCTGCAACCTTTGCATTTGGAGCAGCAATAACTGCTAGAGTTGGTTTGTTGGTAGTAGCAGTTGTGCCCTTGTGGGCAGGCATCTTTGAAGCAGTTTATGGTAGAGTTTTGGCAGAGACAGGTGATGCAGGGATCAGCTTTGAGGAAGGGAATCACTACAACTTGTCCTTCTTCACGACATTTTAGCTGGCTGCCTGTGGTGGAAAGAGTTGAGGATTTCTCTCTTCACGGTTCTCTGAAGTTTACACTCACCTTTTGAAAAGATGGGCTTAAAAGAGTTTACAGGCGTACTCGAGGATAGAATAAAGATGACAATCAAAGTCGTAAAGAAAAAGTTTCTTGTTTTAAATATCATTGTGATATAGATAATATAAGTTGAAAAACAAAAAAAAGAAGAGTAAAACAACTACAAAACGATAGCAATGCTAATACAGTGACAGTTGACAGTTCAGCGTACTACACTCGAACTATGTCTGACGAAGAATGAAAACTAAAACTAAAAGTAAATCGACGGTCAAGGTGGAAACCAGCGCAAGTGGCCTTCTGCTCTGCCTTTGCGGCAGTGAAGTGCTGGCAAGCGCCGCCTGCTGCACCTGCCCCTCTGCTCTGTCTAGCCACCTATCTCAGTCTACTATCGCCTACCATCAGCAATTGGACCCCACTGGGCTACCCTGAGAGCTGGCAGCACACGAGCTCACTGCGGCTCCCAGTGGCCGCATCATCATCACACTCATCATCATCATCATCATCATGGTCATTCGAGGGAGGTCATCATCGTTAGCAACTCGTGACTCGATGGCCATGACTTGGCGCCAGTGACCACCTCCGCACTCGGTGGCCACTCTTTACTTTCACCGGCGGCAATTAGGCGGCCTTAATTGCCGTTGTTGCAGCAGCATTGCTAGCACTGCCGCCACCACTACCACTACCGTAGAGGAATCTCAGGCATTCAATTCCGCCAAACTGGACTGCTGAACACGAGTCTGTCTGAGTCTGTGTATTGAAGGAAAGTGTTGCACTGCTGGCGGAGAGAGAGCAGAGCAGAGGACGGCCTGAGGCGATGGCGGCAGAAGACTGCAGTCACGGCCCGTGTTCGCAGAAGAAGACAGCGACGGCCGCTCTTTGTGCGCCTGAGAGACACACAGACTCATCTAATCTCTTGGCAGGCACAATGCTAAAAAGAATCAATCGGCCGGCAATGCTTTCACTGTCTGACAGCAGCAGTGCACACCGACAATTCATCTTTGGCCGCAAGACAGCGACCTGTCGCGACCATCGTCTGCGGTTTGCTGGCGCGCACTACCTGCCAGTGGTGGAAGCAATTACCCATCGATCAGTGATTTGGGCTGATTATCATTCACAATTTATGACTGCCAATAAAACAGTTGACAACCACAACCACACACACACAGAGGAAGGAGGGTCTGATTGAGTGAGAGATACGGAAACAACTATCAGTTCTCTATTCAGGGCCCTCCGTCCAAATGCCAACAACACTGACTGCACAAGTGCACCAAGACTACTACCACATTTTACAATATTTGGGTTTGTTAATTGGTCATTGAACAATACAATTACAAGTACAGCTCTGAAAGGCAAACAAAACAATAGAAAAAAAAGTAATTTTCAAATACATTCAACTTGAGAAAGCAAAGGGGAAAAGCTGGGAGACGTCTTTTTTGTCAACAGGGCAGCGAAAAAAGTATTGGCTGGTTTGCAGTGCTTGCAAACGGTGGCTGCTGTTGCCGCAGTCTGCCAAATCTGCTTCACATCTTCTTCGGCTGCTGAATTGCGTTTTTCTTGTGGACCGGGCGAAACTCGTTCGCTGGAGTAGGCGTCTTCTCGTGAAACGCCTTCACCGAGCTGGCTGGGAAGTCTTGATCTCCCTGGGCAAAATAAAAAACGATTAGCATCAAATTACAAAACATGACATGCTCTTTGATGACAGCAATCGTACCCGAGCAATTGCCCCTGAGACAGAGAGCACCACCTTCGGCGGAGCCTCAACGACAGCCTCGTCCTCCTCCTCGCCTTCCTTCTTCTCGACCTTGGGCTCTGGCTTGTCGTGGTGGGTCACCTTGTTCTGGGTGATGCGCATTCCCGCGACCTTCACTGCAAATGGGGGAAGGGGATGACAAGAGTGGCGGTTAGTAACAACCCAATAAAGAACACCTCCACAGTGGAGCACTCACCTGCTGGCGGGTGGCCAGCCTTCAGCTCCGTCGAATCGGTGGCAGGAACATCAGACATGTTTGCAGTGCTTCGATTGAATGGGGTGTGTAGGCACAAGTGGGGACAGTGGAACAGTCTTCTGGAGAAGTGTCAATGGCTTTAGAGAGGTGATACGGTCACTTGGCAAGTGCTTGACCAGTTGTCAGGTGGCAATGGCGGCGGTCACGTAGGCAATGTCAGTGGATGCTGATCCAAACGGAGTCTCTCGAACAACAAAATGTGTGTGTGTGCAAACACAGTGTGTAGCAGGTTTGTGCAACGTTGGCGTTGGTAGTGTGCTCGTGGTGGTAAGCTCTGCAGACTCTGCAGACAGTGAGATGGTCTGCTGGCAAGTGCGCACACATTCGACGTAGATATCTGAAGTAGAAGCAGCGGCAGCCGCAGCAACGGCGACGGCGGCCTCAGCATTTGTTGTCCTGCAGTGGCCAGCTCAGTGCCATGCTTCTCCTGCCGCTGATATGGTAGCAGCATCGACGGCAGTGTCTGCGGCAGACCATTCGTCGACACATACACTGCCATCTTGTTACCATTCAGCTCTATGATTGGCGCCAGGCGCTCCAGTCACTGCTGCTTCTCTTTTTCCTACTACACCTGCCGTTCAATGGCGCTCAAGTGGATAAGTCGCTACGTGAACCACAGTGGTGATAGTGCCGATCGCCCATGACAATGTTCCACGGTGTCTGGCTTTTGCTGATGTCAGTGCGACTGATGCGGCGCTGATAAGTCGGGGAGGGAGTGAACAATACTGGCGTATGTTATTGTGCTTATTGGTGGGGTAAAGGTATGACATACAAGTAGTAAATAGTAAATCGCACTGGTAAACAAGTCTAAAGTCTACTTCTAAAAAAGTATAAAAAGATAAAAGAGTAGTGGTGGTGGTGAACAGTTGAGGCCTGGTTCAGCCATGTTTGATAAACCTATTGTGAGCTTAAGATTAAGTGGTCTTTTCCTTCTTCTCCTTCTTGTCTTTGATTGGATTCTNATGGTCCATCACTGATGGTGAACAGTTGAGGCCTGGTTCAGCCATGTTTGATAAACCTATTGTGAGCTTGAGATTAAGTGGTCTTTTCCTTCTTCTCCTTTTTGTCTTTGATTGGATTCTTTTTGCATTCTTCATAAACGTTGTTTAGATCAAACTCGCTGACGACAGTGTCCTAAAAATGGAAAATAATGATAATGTTAGCAATAAACACTTTTTGCTAAAATTTTCCTTACGTAGGATAAGGTGAATTTGACTAGTTTGCCTTGGTGATTGACGATAGGCCGTCGCATAGACTCCTGGCCATTTTCAAAGAGAATCAAAGTGGGCAACTGTTTGCTGAGCGTCGAAGTGTTGATCTTGTACTTGGTTGCAGTGTCGGTGTTTCGCGCAAGGTCAACTTTTGCAAACTTAAGGTTGGGTAAACTGTACTTGTTAGACAGCTCTGCAAATACGGAGGAAAAGTCGATGCACGGTGGGCTCCAAACGGTGTACAGCTCAACTAGCCAGGTGACTCGCTTATCACGAGCAATCTCCTCATCGAGGTCAGCTCCCTTGTAGTAGGCGATAGCTTCGGGACCCGAATATGTGGGTTCAGGAAGAAGTAGCAGTTGTACTAGCAGAAAATAGATTGGTTAGTTGGTCAATACAAAAAAACGAGCACCAGATTTTACTTACAGACACAAAGAGCAATGTAAATCACACAGTAAACAGGGTCACTAGCAGCAAAGAGAATGACGTTGCCTAGCTTGGTGATCATGCAAGCCGAGCTGAGGTACGGAATAAATGTGACCGCACCTGTTCAAAAAGACACATTAGTTACGATATTTGAAAGATAACCACAATAAAATACCTTGTTTCCGGCTGCGGAAAATGATGACAACAGCGGTGAAAAAGAGAATTTCCGTCTCTCTCTACAAAAAATAAGAGACGATTAGCCGACAGATGATAAAAAGATTACCCAAGGCATACATAATCAAACTCGCATGACTCAAAGAGAAAGTCACATATCGGTGAAATGGACTTGAGGAGAATAAAGGAGAGCGCCAAGATGATGTTGGTGAGATAGTGCGGATGGAGCACCTTTCGCAGCTCACGCTTCTCGATGAGAACCATGCTGGCGAGCTGATGGTGAAAATGCGATGCCGAAAAGCTGGTCCCAAAGAGCGGTGGAGTAGTTGTGCGGTGCTGGTTACAACTTTCGGGGAGATGCTTCTGGGTCAGTTAGAAGTCAATCAAAAGGCGAACCAAAACGCCGAATCATCCAGCCGACAGAGCTGAAAAAAATAACAAATGTCCCTCGGTGGGCGCTGCAGCCCCCAAAACATTGGCAGACGATCGAGGATTACGGTGAGGCCACTTTTCGATGACATCTCAACTTCGAAGTGATATTCTCACCGGAACAGTGTGCTTCCAGTCACATTGACAGCCATCGAGGCGAACGGCATCGACAACAACCAGCAGCACCGGCGCCTACGCTCCTCTTCAGCTGTCTGCTGCTGGTCTTCTGCTGACTATCCGTCGATCAAAACCGGATTGCTTGCGGTCGCGGCGATTGGCTTCGTCTTCATCGTCTTCTTCGTTTTCTTCTTGTGCAGTGTAAACTTGTTAGTGGTAATGTTAGTGGAGAGTGCAAAGTTTGTGGATGTGGAAATGTTTTGCAAACAAGCTTCGACAACGGCGGCAGTGGAAGAAGTGGTAGTTAGAGCAGCCAGCTATTAACTTGATCGATCATGGATGCTCCGAGGTGGATCACTTCAATTTAGAGTGCAGTGCCACCGCCGCAGCAAACACTGCCGTCACCATCACCACCACCACCGCCATCATCATCAGCAGCAGCATCGTTCACACTATGATCACTCACAATGGAGTCCATTGAGGCGAAAATTAAGGCTTTTCTCAGCGGCGAAGTCAAAGACGACCCTGAGAAGGAGTTTCTAAATGTCGACTACTCACTGGACCAGCAAAACTATGAGCTCAGTAAGTGATTGACGGATGCCTTTTATTGTTGCTTCACTCTAACCGTTGCTGTCTTTTATCTAGGCGCCCGAGGCGTTGAACCAAAGAGTCCGGCGGAGTTCAAGCCAAAAATCGGCACCACCATCACCTACGTCGTTGCGGCAGTCATCTTCAATGAAAAGAGCGAGATTCTGATGATCCAGGAGGCGAAGCGCAGCTGTGCAGGCGAGTGGTACCTGCCCGCCGGACGAGTGGAGCCCAATGAGAGCATCGAGGACGCCGTCAAGCGGGAAGTCGTCCAAGAGACGGGCTTTGAATTTGAGCCGACGACGCTGCTGAAGGTGGAGAGCTCCCACGGCACCTGGTTCCGCTTCGTCTACACTGGAAATGTGGTGGGCGGACAGCTGAAGACGGTGGCCAAGGCGGACCAGGAGTCACTGCAGGCGAGCTACATCGCCGACATTACCAAGCTGACCTTGCGCTCACAGGACTGTCTCAAGCTGATTGAGCTCGGTCGGGAGTACCTCAAACACCGGGCCGAATGGCACAGCGAACAGCTGGTCATCAGTCGGCCGGTGCCTAACATTTTCCTCCGACTGCTCATTGCCATTCGAAGCAGACAGAGGTGAGCGGCACTGCTGATGAATTGCTTCTTTATTCTAAATCTTTATTTCCGACATTACTACAGCAACGCCTACTCAGTGCTCATATCCGACTCCCTGGTTCAGCACATTCCCATGACGGAAATCAATCCAGCACGCAGTGTGCACGCCACCTTGAAGCGTTTCATGCAGGTAATGCTGAGAATGTAATCTTTCAACCTTTTCAATTTGTAACCTTCATTTGGGGCAGCACATCTTCGGCGCCGAGCACTTACCTCAGCACAAGCCAGTGGGCATCCTCACGGTGGAGCACAGCTTTGCCAGCGAGCCCGACCAGTACGACGGCCTCTGTTTGACGTTGCTGGTCGTCTGCAAGGACCCACTGGAGGGGGTGCGCACAAAGACGGGCTTCTCCTGGCGTCAGCTGGACGCCTCACTCGAGGCGACACTCGTCTCCAAGTTGTCCAAGTACAAGACTATCTCACTGAACGTCCTCTGACCTACTACTCTTACTACCACTATCACTTCATCATTATCACCCGTTGTTTCGGCCACGTGCAATACTCCTCCTCCTCCTCCATTCAGATCAAACACACCCAATCCTCCTCACTCTTGTCAGAAATGTTCGAACTCAATTGAAGTGCAATATAGAGGGTAACGTTTCAACCCGAAAACTTCCACCTCTACACCTTTCAAACCATCAGATATAATTAATACAATTGATTTAATGAGTCCTAGGAGAGTGAGTGAGTGAGTGAGTGAATGAGAGAGTGGAGTGAAGTGAGAGAAATAACTTAGTGAATCGGTGGGATCAACAGTGTGACAATTTAAAAAGAGAAGAGACTAAGCAGAGAGAATCTGACTGCTGCTGCTGGCGACGTTAGAGGCATCGAGGAGCAAGGCATACTTTGAAGGGCTTTGGCGACATGGACGCAGAGACGATGCCGGCAATCTGCGGCGGCTTCTCCTGGTCAGGTATCTGCAGGTCAAACTTCTGCAGCAGACTGGTGAGAAAGAGAAAGACCTCCATCTTGGTGAGCACGTCGCCCAGACATGATCGCCGACCTGCATGGAAAAAAAGTTTGGTCGTTAGTAATCAAGCTAATAGGTTGTTGCAACAAAGAAAACCTACCAACTGAAAATGGGATAAAGTAGTCTGGCTTATGCACTAGCCCATCTCGGAGGAACCTCTCCGGCATAAACTGCTCCGGGTTCTCCCACAGGTCAGGGCACATGTTGAGTGCGTACAGATTCGGCAGAATGTGCGTCGTCGCGGGAATGGAAAAGCCCGCCAGGACAGAGTCACTAAAGAAAAGGAAAAAGAAGTTAGTAAAATCGCAAACAAAAAGAAGCTCCCTATTAAAAGTACTCACTCTAGCGTGCAGTGGGCGTTGCCGAGTGCGACAATGTTGCTGCGCCGAAGTACCTCCCAGAAGGTGGCCTCGGTGTAGGGCATGCTCTCCAGGTCGACCAGCTGCGGGTCGCGGTCGTTGCCGATGACCAGCTCAATCTCCCGTTGCACCTGCGCCTGCACGGCCGGGTTGAGCATGAGAAAGAGCACCGCCCACTCGATGGTGCTGGTGACGTTCTCCAGGCCGGCGCTGAAGATGTCATTCATCACCTGAATGAGCTGCTTCTCACTGAAGAAGGTCTGCTGACCGGTGCGCTGCACCCGTTCGTGCTGCACCAGGTAGGCATCGACAAAGTCGCGCACATTGTCGGCGCACAGCGTCTCCCGGTGCTCGTCGACGATCTCGCTGAAGTAGCGACTGGTCTCCTCGCGATTGCGCTTCATCTTCTCGTAGGCGTAGTTGACCAGCGGCATAAAACGGAGCAGGGGAAAGAAGTTGACGGGCATGGCGATGGCGAACAGGCGGAAGCCCTCCTCCATCAGCTCAATGATGCGCCGGAACTTGGTGTCGGAGGACTTGAAGGTCATGCTCATCAGCAGACTGCCTATCACATTGCTGACGGCGCAGGCGAGAAAGGGCCGAATGGTGATCGACTGCCCATTGGTCTTTCGGAGATCATCGAGAAATTCGCTCACTTGAGACTGTTTGGGGGAAAAATGAGAGAGAAGACGGTCAGATATGGTTGGCCCAGCGCTGGTCGTCAAGTCACTTGCTCTGATTTTGTGCTCCAAGCAGTCCCGTCCGAGGGTCATGCTTTTGGCACCCAGCTTGCGCAGGACCGAGTGCAGAAAACCTCGCTGCTCCTTCCACAGAGCGCCATCGGTGTTGACAATGCCTGGCAGAGAAAGGTGTCAGAGTGAGCATACCAAAAATAAATAAAAATAAGGCACTTACCGTAACCCTGGAGAATGCGCGTCAGCTCGGTGTCGGGCCGACCGGAGAAAACGGGCTGGCGAAAAGCCTCCTTGATGATCTTCGCGTCATTGATGACGACCACCCGCTTCGAGCCAAGGTAGATCTGGTAGATGGGGCCGTACTTGACGGCAAGGCCGGTCAGCGTCAGGTGGAAATCCTTGCCGATGAAGGGAAGAAAGCCAAGCACGGGGACGCCCAGCGGACCGGGCGGCAGTGGCAGTGAACTCGACCTGGACAGGTACAGCTTTACGAGGAGAAAGACGAGAATGGAGATGAGGAGGACGCGGAAGAGTGAGGCTGAGAGGACCAGAGTGAAGACCAGATTGAAGTACATCCTTGTTAACCCGTTGCCGCCAGTCGGAGAGAAGGAAGAAGAAGAGGAGGAGGTGGTGGTGGAATTCGGAGAAGAGGGGGAAGAGAGAGACCTGAGAAGCGGATGGAGATGACTGGCGGACAGGAAAAGACTGAGATGCAAAAGGAAAAAGAAGAAGAGGGAAAGAAATATAAATACAAAATATCAACAAGAGTGACTTGTGAGTGGAGACGAAGAAGAAGAAGAAGAAGAAAAGAGCCAAGTCAAGAAGAGGGGAACAGTCAGTGACAGTGACCAGTTGCTCGACTCGACTGAGACGACTGTTGGCACCACCACGGTTGGCCTTTTTATATCACTCGCCCCATCAACGTCTCATGTGCTTCAGCATCACCATCAGCCAGTGGTGTCTCAGCTGCTGTTCACTCTGCTGCAGCAGCAGCTTCAACAGGAGTGTGTGTGTCCTGTGTGCATTGCAGTAGCACCGCTGCCGCTGCTTCCATTGCTACTGTTGTCTGAAGCAGCAGCAGCATCAGAGGTGGCCTCTCCACTACAGTGTCCATCGCACAGCTGTGAAGATTTTCTCGGCGGTAAAGGTGGTGATGGTGGTGGTGGTGGTGGTGGTGCTGACTGCGGCGGAAACAAGAAGAGCGGACCTTCGACGCAAGCCACAGTGCAAATGAGAGGCAAAAGAAGGACGCTGTGGCTTAAGCCTTTACAGCAGTGGCAGTACACTCTCTGTCCTAGCTGACGCCTGCTTTGCTACTTGCAAAGTCGCAGGACAGAAACTTCCATAGTGCTCCAGCAGACGTTCTCAATTACCACACCCACTTGTTGATGACAAGAAACACAGGCGACAAAAAGCGCACACTTTTTGCCACATCGACGACCTGTGAATGAACTGCAAACATCTGATGCAGCAACAGCAACAGTTGCTCTCTTTCATTTCGGGACAAACGCTGCCTGATCTTATCACAGCAGTGGAAGGAAAGTGTTTAGATACATCACACTGGAGTACCGAGTGCGCGAGTGTGTGTGAGTGTGTGAGTGCCTAGGCTGGTCACCTCTTTTCGTCACCGTTTGCACCATTTATAAAAGTCGGAAACAAACTACAAAACCATTATCCCCCATTGCATTTCCTAGTGCCGACTTGTCAGCGCACTGGTCAGAGGAAAAGACGGCAGCAACGGCAGTGGCAACAGCGGCAACTCGAGCACAACCACCACCACCACCACCACCATCTGCATCTGCATCATCTGCCTGCCATGCCGCCGTCTCACGTCCTCTCCAGTCAGTGGTCATTGACCAGTGACTGACTGGCTAGCTACAGCTACAGTCAGCTGATTCCCGAGTAACAGGCTGCTGCTGCAGTCACTGGACAAGACACGTGGGCTCCATCGGTGGTGGTTACCTTCTGCAGAGGACTGCCTCCTTCAGGGAGGTGGCAGGCAGTCCTCCGGACGGACAAACAGTGCTCGCACCGAAGCTGCCGCCAACGGGGTGCCGATGCCCGGGCAGAAGCACAGCCTCTCCACTTGCATTGGAACCTTTTGGAACAACCACTGAGCAGCATTGCATTCACAGGCAGGTCCCCAGACAGGGCCCATCTGAAGACACCTGGTCAGAGAGGTCGGGCACATCTGCGACGACTTTTGTAAACATCATCACCATCAGCAGCAGCAATCACCAACCGCGACCACTTGTCCGGGCGGCAGCATCCGTCGACTGTCGAGTGCACAGAGCAGAGTGCTCCGTTGCTGTTGTTGCTGCTGCTGCTGCAGAAAATCAGGCTTTTCTCAAGCTCAGCGCACCGTTGGACAGCGGCAGCAGCAGCTCAGACAGCAAAGAGCCGAGTCTCTCAGCGAGTGTTTGTGTGTGATGTATTAATTTCCTAGTTTGCAAATTGTGCTCGGCCATCAGCCCAAAGACCGAGGTCATGTAGTCATTCATGGGTCATTGAACTACACAGGCAAAGCAGTGTGTGTGTGCTGATCAGGGCGAGTTTGCCTCTCATTCGCACACAACACAGACAGAGACATCTCCGAGTGTTGCTGCTGCTGCTGCTGCCGTTGTTGCTGACGTTTAGTTTTGAAACACACACACTTCCAAGACGGCGGCAGAGAATGCCTGTCGGCCGTAGTGGCGATCTTTGTAAGCGCGGCAGACCACCACCACCACCACCACTAATCACCATTCGAATTGGCTGGCGCCTGCCAGTGTCTGTTCGAATTGATGATGGACGCGCGAGCGCCAGTCTTAAAGGTGCACAAGACCATTGACAGACACTCACACTGAGCGAGCTGCTCGGCGGCAGTAGTAGCACGAGTTGGACGTGACAGATTAGTGACAAGGTAAACTTGGTCATTATCTGCTGCATTGCCAGCTCAATGAGCTTTGTATTTAGCATTTACATGTGACTCTCCTAAATGGCGGCGGTGGTGGCGGTGTGTGAAAGGCTGAAAATGTAAGTTTCTCAGTTTGGAGGAGAGAAAAGGAGCATGATGAACACACACAGCCACTGAGGTGAGTGTGATGAGGAGTTCAATGAACTCTCTGTTGGAGAATTCACCTTCTTTTACTTTGTGTGGTCCTCTCTCGAATATGACGGACACCAGTCGATTGGGAGAAACCTAATCAGGCAGATCCTGAGGAGGTGCCAGTGGTGGTGACGACACCAGCGGTGTCGGTGGGGCAGGCGGGCAGTGGGCAAAGGATGCACACACACTTTTAAGCAGCAAAGAGTGCAAGAGATGCAGTGTCACCATCACCTCACCGAAATGTGCCGAGTAAAAATATAAAGTGCTCATGTATTTATAGGTCAATAGGCAATAGGCCTCGGTAAGGCATTCAGAGCTGGAGAGCCAAGAAAAGGACACAACAACGTCCGCAACCGATCCTCGGCCAGAAAAGTAGCCAGTAAACTGTGCGCTGAGCTGATGCCTAGGCAGAAAGCAAATCAGTGCACCACCGTTGATGTCTGATTGCGCAACAACAATCCATCTGCCACTGCCGCCGTCTCTGAGGATGATGATGATGAGCATCTGCGTCGCCCCAATCGAGTTTTCTCCCCCGATCAGCAGAGCACATCCACACAAACACATCCTCTACATTTACACATTTACACTCATCAAACGGCAGCATTTGTGGGACAGTGTCCTTCCCTCACCGGGAGTGGTGCCTCAGTCCCGCCAGGGTTGCCAGCACCAGTCACAGAGACACAGTAGCCGCTCGGCGACGACTCGGCGAAGAAGAAAATGCAAACGACGAGGACATACACACATCTCGCGCAGTATGTGCCACTGAATGAGTGAATGAGCGAATGAGTGCTAGTGCACAGAGCACAGAGAGGCTCAGTGAGGCAAAAGAGTGTGAGCACACCATTCCCCCCATTCGATTGAACTGCATTGAACCGAAGATGTGAATTAGTAGTCAAGGCACAACAAGAGTCGTCGCCACCGTTGCTGCTGCTGCCGCCGATGGGCAGGCATCGATCGGTTGCATCAAGACCCAGGGGGCAGAGATGGTGGCAGAGCAGATTGGAAGTGGTGGAGAAGAAGGTGGTGGTGGAGGAGGAGGACTTGAGGAGGACACAGCTGACTGCATGCGCAACAGCATGCGACACCGACACAGAGGCACTTTGCTCCCCCGTTGATGCCAAGTTTCTACTTTAAAGTTTACCTCAAAAGAGCACAAGTGATGCCATTGCCATCATCGCCTGCATTACCAAACCTTTTGGGGGAAAAATTTGCGCCAAGCAATCCTTCAGCGCAGGCTGCTACAGTTGCTGCTTTTGCTTATCAGCGAGAAGCATCATCATCACAGCTGCTAGCTAATCATAAGCATAGCCTAATGTCGCCAGAAGAGAAACTCTCTGTCCACTTCGCCCTGCTCATCGCCACTGTCCACCACGGAATCGCACGCAACTGGTCAATTTCCGGAACAGGTAGTGCTCAAAGGGTGACACTGCTAAAGACAACAGCACAGACTGGTGTTGAAACCAGAATGGCAGAGGTGAGAGAGAGAGGGAGAGAAAACCTGTGCAAGTCCACACTGTGTGTGCACTTTTGTACAAAAGTGCAGTGATGAACAGAGAGGCAAGAGGCGTCAGCAACAAGGCAAGTAGCAACTGCTTTTTTTGCATGCAAAGTGACCTCTCGACGACGACAGCGACAGCAGCAGCAGCAGCAGCAGCAACGACAGTGCCGCTGCAGCAGTAGGAGCAATTCAATTTTCAATGAAAAGGAAAGTCGATGCAGTACTTGAGCACATGAATGTGTCAATGAACTGTCGTTTCATTGCCCAGTAGAGTTGGTAGCGTCAAGTTTCAGCGTGCACATGTCTGTGTGTGTGTTCACATGACTTTGCAGAGATGTGGTGAGTGAGTGAGTGTGGATGGCAGAGTTTCAAAGACGAAAGAGAATGGCTCATTGTGCCTACAACTGATACTGCTGCTGTTGCTGCTGTTGACCCAAATTTATTCAATCTGGCGATATGGGCAAAAAACTGCAGTCTATTTGAAATCAGGTAGAGGTAAGGGGACTTACCAGGTGGTTGGTTAGTCCTTAATTTGCTGTTAAAATCGATTGTTGTTAAATCCCAGTCCGAGGCCTCTGTGCGTGTGTGTTGTCATGCGGCCAATTGCGTACTGCCTTTCCAGGTCTTGAAATAGTGTCTCCTGTGTGGCCGAAACATCGGAGCCTTTCGCACTAGCAGCAGAAGACGATGACGAAGAGGATGGCTGCGGCGGCGGTGGTGACGACGGTGTGCCCTCTTGTACGTCACTCGATCTCGAGATCCCCATGAGCTTTCGAAACTTCTCAGTCATCTGCGAGCCGTGTTCACCTTGAAACTGCAGATTAGTCCACACTTTGGCAGTTGAATTCGATGACTTTTCCTAGATTGCAGACGAACAAAGGCAAATATAAAAAGCTAAATTCAATGAGTAGCAATTGAAATACCTTTTTCGTGTCACCCCACAGCAGCTTTCGCTTCTCTTCCTGAGTGGCAATTTTGGTAGGATTCACGGCACTGGCGTTGTAAAATTTTGGAATGCTTGGAGCCGTCGTTTGCGGTAGTTGCGTTGGCGCTTTCGCTTGAATCATGGCCACTGCTCTACTCAGCGCTGCTTGTGTAGCCCTGGCGTTACCTGGCTGCTCTTGTATGTTTGATTCGGTTTTGGATTTGTCAACCTTAGAATCCTTAGAATCGGCACTAAATGACGGCATGTCGGACCGTTTTGGTGTGGCACTCCGAGATCGGTGTTCACGACGTTCATGGCGATAGTTTCTCGACTCCTTAGACCTGTCACGCTTCGATTTGCGGCAGCTGCGACTGCTCTTGTGTCTAGGACTTTCATTTGCTTCATGCCTTGATGAACGTTCAGCTGGTCGCTCATGTCGACTACTTTGACGATGAGATTCTCGACTGCGAGACCTTATGCGTCGATGGCGAGATTGCGGTGATCGACTTCGGCTACGACGATGATCGCGTGTTCGCTCATGGCGGTCCCGTTGGTTTGTTTGTTCATGATGATGGTGTCTGTGGTGAGAAGATTGACTAGCGGTCGGCCGACTTGTCTGACACTCTCTGGGTTTGTGTTCATCTGGTGATCGCTCTCTGGTCTTTTCACTCTTTGATGGAGAGCGATTCTTTGCCTCGACAACATGCTGCTGTTGTTCATCCGTGTCGAAATCATCGTCGTCATCGGCATAGCTCACGATTGACTGCAAATAAAGTGCGTTAAGCGTTAGAGTACTTGAATGAAATGGAAAATACAAGATTAATAGATGTGAAGAATAGAGTTTTTGGATCAACCTAAACTCAAACACAGCAAAATGACAGCAGACTGCTGCTGCTAAGGCATTTTCTGGCTTGAGAGCAAAAGCTAATCATGCAAACAGTGTCGACTTACCTTTTTCATTTCCATTTTCAGAGGTCAAGATGTGTGTTTTGATTCTAAAGTTCGGGAGTTTGGGTGAGTTTTGAAAAGGAATATTCAGTGTTGAGAGAAGCAAACAGCGGCGGCGGCGCACACTGATAACAATGTGAGCGAGCAGTGTGCTCGTTCGGACAGTTTGCCGGGAACTGGCGAGCTGCAAGATTTTTTCCTGCTTTGCACAAAACTGAAGCAAGATGCGCTTTAACCAGCTTTTGATGTGAGTATTCTCAAGTACCTGAATCAAACGAGGGTTGATGATTTTATTCAGCCTTTTAAATGGTTATCTTCAGTCATCTTTCTGTGACAAGATACAAGATGAGATAATGAGATTGAATTATGTGCTCAATAGAGTACAGACTCTGTGGAGAGACTCCGCAGAGGTGAGTGGCGCCCCCGGTGTGCGTGTGTTTTGATGCTGCTTTGGCGCTGTTCACTCACTTTGCATCAATTTCGGCAGGGTCATCTTCATCTGTAGTGTGCAGCCGAAAAAGAAAAGAAAAGAAAAGATTCTTCAAATCGCCACCTTCGAAGTAGACCATGGAGTCGTCAGTAGTGGATGCGGGGGAGGACGACGACGATGTGTACTACGACGATATGGAGGAGTACGATTATTACTGCAACAATGAGGAGGCCATCAGTGATCACCAGATGGACAGTGGTCTGCAGACGAGTCGCAAGAATATTGAGTTCTTTGACTACGAATGCATCTCCCAGGAACAGGCCAAGGCGATCATCAACAGCGCCGTTGACCGTGTTGCAAGTGCCATCAAGGTGAGGTGACTTGTTGTTTATTCTGCTTAATTATTCTTGTTTTCATTCTCCTGTAGATATCGCCTTCAATGGCCAAGCTTTTGTTGATCAAAACACAGTGGAATGAAGAGGAGGTTATTTTCAATTTCAAATCATCAGATGTTCACTGCTTCCTCGAAGAAAAGTGCATCAAGCCGGCTCACAAGAGGCTCGATTCACCAACAGACTTCAGCGTTGCTGCGCTAGGAATCGACTCACTCATGGAGCTTAGCTATTCCAAGTTCGCCGAGCACGCCGACTTCCCTGAGGAACTGTCGCGCAGTTTTCCAACGAAGCTGCTCTGCGATGTCTGTCTTCAGACTCACCTTGTCAAAAACCACAAAGCGCTGCTTTGTGAGCATAACTACTGCCATGACTGCTGGAAGACCCACCTCCTCCAGAACATCTCCAACGGCCAGGCGACCAGCATTGAGTGCATGTCCACTGGGTGCAACACTCTGGTGCAGGAGGATTTTATTGGCGACATTTTCAGTGGAACTATCGTTATGGAGCGCTACGAGAAGCATGCATTTCGCGACTGTGTCAACTCTAATCCGTACCTACGTGCCTGTATCGGTCCCGACTGTTCAGTGATCATTCAGGCCAAAGAGGTAAAGGCGAAACGCGTCATCTGCTCAAAGTGCCGCAGCTCCTACTGCTTCAAGTGCGGCAGCGACTACCACGCACCGACGGACTGCAAGACGATCAAACTGTGGCTGACAAAGTGCGCCGACGACTCTGAAACGGCCAACTACATCTCCTCACACACCAAAGACTGCCCTAAGTGCGGCACCTGTATCGAGAAGAACGGTGGCTGCAATCACATGAAGTGCTATTCGTGCAAGTATGAATTTTGCTGGATGTGCCTTGGTATGTGCTACTGTCAAAATGTTTGTAATGAGCAAAAATATTCAGACAATCTTTTCTTTTCTAGACACCTGGAAGACGCATGGATCTCAGTATTACGAATGCAGTCGCTATCGGGAGAATCCCAACATTGCGAATGAGAATGAAAAGGCACGAGAAGCGCTGAAAAAGTACCTTTTTTACTTTGAACGGTGGGACAATCACATGCAAAGTCTGCGGCTGGAGGGGAAGGCGCTGGAGCACATCAAGGAGATCATCAATGAGAAGGTCATGTCGAACGCGGGCACCTGGATCGACTGGCAGTACCTGCTGGACGCGGCGGCACTTCTCAACAGGTGTCGTAAGACTCTCCAGTACACCTACCCTTACGCCTACTACATGGAAGCGGGCCCAAATAAGGGCCTGTTTGAGTACCAGCAGGCGCAACTAGAGGCGGAAATTGAGAACCTCTCCTGGAAGATTGAACACGCAGTGACCACCATTCGCGGAGAGATTGAAAATCAGATGGACATTGTGGAGAAACGGCGAATTACGCTGCTCGAGGACTTTTTCGTCTAAGCACTCGAGGCAAGCACTGTGTGTGGCACCCTTTCAAAAAAGAAGACACAGTCTTGTTGTTTTTATCTATTGTAAATAGACCTGTTATTTAATTAAATCATGTGATTTTACTTGAATGATGATGAGTATGATGATGACGCTTAGATGTACAAGTCAAAGTCGATGCGTTTGGAGCTGTAGAAGCGAGCATCCTCGGCGTCGGAGCGCCGAACAAAGACGCCCTCTTTGAAGTAACCGTTGTCTACCCAGGCCTGCATTGCTTCGCTCTGAAAGGGTCCGTGAATGGGGGCGTCCTCTTTGTCCTCCCACTTGAACTGCCAGGTGACCGTCGAGGAAGAAGTCTGTGGATCTGCTGATTTGGCAGCAGTTGAAGTTGTTGGTTTCGATGTCGATGGAATGAAGTCATCGCTGAACATGTCATCGCTGGGCGCCGGTTCTTTGGCAGCAGTGGCGGCGGTGGCCTTGCTTCGATTGAGATTGAGTTGAAACTCCTCAAAACGGCGCTCGTAAATGTCCATGTCGCCTGAGCGAAGAAACTCATCAGCAATGGAGGTGAGCTTCATGATGCTCTCTTTGGCGGCTGCAATCTTGCTTTCGTCAGTGCTGCTCTTATTGCCACCAGTCTCCACCTTCCGTTGTTTGGAACCCTTTTTCACCTTTGGACAGTCCTTGCCGAACCTCTGTATTGCCCGTTGAATTGTCTCTCCAGGTCGAAGCAGCTCAATGATTTGTTTGTGCATCTCCTCAGTGCTCGGCCGGGGCTGATCTCCGCCAGTTTCAGCCTCAGCACCCTTTTTGGCCGTTGATGGTGCTTCCTCCTCAGGTTTGTGCACCCGTCCCCAGTCAATATTGTCCAGCCAGTTGTCGCGAATGTCGTCCTCCTTTTTAAAGATGTACGTCCCTTCAGTGTCAAAGTGGCCCGTTTCCAGCTCTTCGTCCATATTGAAGGGTGTGATTTTGATGTCGCCATCAAATTCAATGGTCGATTTTTCCGTCCCTTCAAACTCGTCCATGCGATACTTGTCGGCATCCTCCAGCTCGTCATCCTCCTCATCGCTGTCAAGTGTTCGCTTGAAACGCTTTCCAAATGGCAACTGCACCTCCTCGCCCACCTCCTCCTCTTCCGCTGCTTGGGGCTGCTCTTCATTGACTTCAGCCATAACGAAAGAACTTGCAAACACAAAAAGAATCAAGCAAAAAAACTGCCAAAAAAATCAACACAAATGAAAGTGCTATTTTGCATATTTGGTGGATATAGCTTTTTGTTTGTTGATTTTTTCCATTTTTCGCCACGATTTTTTCCACGACGACTGCTTCCAGCAGGTACCCCAACAGATTTTCAGGTAAAGTTCATCTGGTCAACTGTCGACTTGACCGCCAACTAACTGTCTGCTTGTTGGTTCTAGGTACTTTCTTTTTGCCCAATTCAATAGAGGTGACAGACCAGAAGTAGGCAGCAAGTTGCTCAAGCTTGTACGTGTGCAATTTGACCACGACGAACTTTAACGTTGAGCTGTGATTCCATTTTCTGCCGGTCTGCACTCCTCTTCAACGACCCAAACAGCTGAGCTGGCTTACACAATGGCTGACAGGCTGACGCAACTGCAGGACGCCGTCAACGTACAAGCGGACAATCTGACCAACAGCATCGGCGTTCTGCAGCAGCTGGCACGGCCTAACAGCTTCCCTTCGGAGATTGCCTTTGACCGAAGCAGCAGCTCGGCTTACCAGAATGCACTGGCGGAGATGGGCGTCGCTCCACCGCCGCCCCCACCAGCAATAAAAGATGAAGGGGAAGAGAAGGCCAAAGAAAAGACCAATGGTCTGGAGCACACCAACGGAGGCGATCACGCGTCGATGAATGGCGGACAGCCACCGCCTACCAGCGAACAAATCGACAACGGGCAGCTCTTTTCACGGTTGATCGCCAAGACGGCCAAGGACATTGACGTGATCATCGACTCTCTGCCGAACAAAGACCTGGAGGCAGAAGTACAAGAGTCGCACATTCGCCGCCTGGAGGAGGATAACAAGGAGCAGGCTCGCAAGCTGGAGGCGGCAATCAAACACGGCGAGGAGATGCTGCAGGTGATCAAGAACGCCCTCGAGGACATTGCTCAGAGTCAGATGATGATGGAGCAGTTGGAGGCGAGAAATCTGTCCAACATCGGCGGCAGTGGACCTCACGGCTAAAAACCTGACAACCTTTTCAGACAGCACCTCACACCTTCACTACACACATTCGACCGATGCTCGACTTTGAAACTCTCGAATCGGCAGCAAACCTCATTTGAAACTTTCTCCTTACTTTCTTACCACGACTTCATCAGCTGCACATCACTGTTGAACCTTCTTTTTCCCCTTTGTTACTCTTAATACTACATTACACTTCCTTATCTAGGAGAGAAAAAAGTCATCACCGTTATCAGAAATAGTGTTTTATTTGCTTTCAAGAAAAGGAAAGACGAAGAAGAAGAATAAGTAATAACGAAGAATAATAATATAAGGAATATAAGTAATATATAATAATAAGGAATATATTCTCTGAAAGCCCATCGATTGGGATTGCAGTCTGGGGAAGTGAGGGGAAAGAAGCAGAAGGAGTAAGTTGGAACTTGGTTGCCCTTCACAGTAAGCGGAAATGCAGTCTTTTGCTGGTGCTGATGGCGCCCAGGGCTACAGGAAAGAGAGAAAGAGGTGTCCTAAGCTGTGTAAATGTGAGTTTGATTGACAGTGAGAAGGAAGAACGAGTGTTTGATGTTGCAGAGGGTGGTGGTAATGGTGATTTATAGTAGCACTTGAGTGAGATGAATGCTGCAACGAGGATGAGGGCAATAGTAAGATTCAGATGAACTGTGGTGCGGTGAGATAGAGAGTGAAAAGCAAGAGTAAATTAGTGAAGTAGAACTTGTAGTAGCACTTGTGACTTGAAGAAGAGGAAAAAGAAGGGAATCAGAAATATTTGTAGAGAGTGAAAAGGAGTGCCCTCTTGCCTGTGAGACCTAGCGAGACTTGCCTACTTTGGCTTTCTTCTGCTTGGACTTTTTCTTTGAGGCCTTGCCGGTGCGAGACACAGCTAGAACTGAACTGTTGTCGTCATCTGCTGCCAGTGGCATCGCTGAAGAGAGTGAATGTCCATTATCCTCCAGCGACTTGTAATCCGAGTCAATGCTACTGATACTGCTGTCTGCCTTATCGATGACTGATTCAGTAGCAGTGGTGAGGCACCTTTCAGATTCCACTTCTTTGATCATAGCTGCCGTGGAGCAAGTAGTAGTAATGGAAGGGGAGGAGGTCAAAGGAGTTGTCAGCGTGGTATCACAGCTTTGTGGGGGCACCGTGGTGGCGGTGATAGTGGCGGCGTCAACGCTGCTCTTCATTTCCTCCTTTGCCTTCTTCTCCATCTCCTTCTCCATCATCTTCCACTCTGCCAGCAGATCATCAGTGGTGACTAGTGTCTCGGCGGCATCAGCAACATCCTCAGCTGGTCCTCCGGTGACCGCCTGGGGACCACCACTACACTCTTTATCGAGATAGTCAAAGCAGGCGAGCGCCTCTTTCTCCTGCAAACCAAAGCGCACAAAGAGATCAGGTCGATTGACAATTGACATGCGCGCTTTGGGAGTGAAGCTGATGACTACATCACGAAGGCGACAAAGGAAGCCTGAAGTAAGCAAACAAAAGTAATAGTTAGCAAAACAATCGTTATTACCAAAAGTTCCAATCAAACCTTTCTTCTTCTGACGGCGGAATCGGTGCAGTGCATGCAACTGCTGGTGGCTGAGATTGTCCACATTCTCCGAACTGGGGTCAAGCTGAGCATCAGCCGTCTGCTTGAGAGCAGCCTTCTGCTTCTCCCGGCTACGCCCCATATGGCCACCCGCAACACTGCCCATCTCCTCCAGCATGTTTGGTCTAAAGGAGGCAACAGCAGCAGCTGTGTTCATCGGCACCGAGCTGCCCAGCGACAGATTACTCGCCAGCACGTTCTTCATGCGATGCTGCTGACTGCAGATGCCTGCCTGCTGCTGATGCTGCTGCTGCTGGTGATGCTCACTGCCAAAACCACCTCCTCCTCCAAAAAAGGACGGACGAGAGACAGTCTGGTAGTGCGAGTCATCAGAAGGCTGGTGGTAGTACGAGTAAAAGGGCTGTTGCTCGTAGGCGGAAGATCGGTTCAGTGAGGTGATGGAAGATGCAGTGAGCAGTGACTGATTAGATCGATGTCCACTCGAATGCTGCTGCTGACGACGCGTGCTGCTGGCCGAAGGGGAAGCAGTGCTCACCGGACGACTAGCTCGGTAGCGTGAAAAGAAGCCACTGGTGGAGAAGGAAGAAGAGGAAGCTGAAGAGGAAGAGGAAGAGATAGTGGCGGCTGCCGCTGCAGCCCCAGCACCTCCCCCAACAGCACTACTCCCACAGGAGGAGGAAAATGAGGGCAGCGCCGAATCACAGGTGACCAGACCGTGGAGGAAGAGATCGTACTCAAAGTCAGTCGAGGAGGCAAAGTAGTCGCCGGCGCAGTCACGCCCGGTCATGGTCAGCGGACGACGGACGCCCCTGGCGCTGCTCCTCGTCGGCGTCATGTAGGAGAGGTGGTCGCTGAAGGCCATCGTTGACGTCGTGTTTAGCATCGTGTTTAGTTGGGCTCTGATCGGAGGCTACGGGCCATGTAGAGTGTACGGTGTAAAGAGTAAGGGTAAGAGTGGCCTAGGGCGCCGGTCACCGAGACCACTACTGCTTATTTCTTCATTTGAAGTTGCTGTTTGGTGGCGGCGGTGGTGCTGCAGCTGCTGCCCAGCTTTAGGCTGCTCTACATGCTTTTTTCTGAGAAACAAATTATGGCGGCGTTGTGTCGTTGGCAGAGCGGTACTGCTCACTGGCAAGAGCGCACTGCTGCGTCGGAAACGAACAAGGAAAGAGAAAGAGAAAAGAGCGTTAGAGTACCGTGCAAGAAGTAATAAGCTGCTGTAATAGGTGGGTGATAGGTGGCAGTAAGCATTGTTTGTGTGTACAGTGAATAGCAGTGAGTAGTAGCAGGCCCACATTACTTATTCATTATGACTAAGTGGTGGCAGCGGCCTCCGCCGCCGTCTCCAATGTCGATACTATTGACCAGAGTCGCTCTCTTCACTTTTTCCCTCTTCTCACTCTCGCTATTTCCTATTTTCTTCCTTGCCAATTGAAGGCCACCAAACACAGACGCAGCCACGACAGAAGGCGGCCTTGAATTGTCAGGCCAAGTCACACAGAGCAGTCCGATCTGAAGGAGCTAAAGCTAAAGTCGTTGTCAGCCTTGTGACTTTCAAATGCAAAAATACAATGGCTATAAATTAATGTCCAATTATTTAATAAATGGTAGCGTTCAGAGTTGCCCAGTTTTTGTCAGTTTTGTCAGTCTAACTGTCGGTTTTTCAGCGACCCTTGGTGTGTTCTATCTATCTGGAAAGCGCCACAGTGAAAATTCTGCCCAAAAGTCATAAAGGTGCCTGCGGACACCGACACGGTGGCAATATTCTTTTTAGGTTGCTCAAGTGAGTGAGTGTACCCGAGTGCAGAGAATGGGGCACTTCAGCACTGTTCTTGCCTTCAGTGCGTTGCCAACTGTAGTGCCATTAGTGCACAAGTGAAACAATGCTGAATAATTAACGGGAGACAGACACTGGTTCGTTGATTCGTGGCTTCATTGTCCTGCTGCGTACCTGACTGAAACACATTCTCTCTCTGACTTTCATATTCGATTGTGCTCTATGTGCTGTACGGCAAAGTGACAAAATGACTTACAGGCAAGGGAAAGGAAGAAGAAAGTAATGGCAAAGGAAACTTGAGAAGTTGTAAGAGTGTCGTGGCTAGTCAGCAAATGATTTCGACTGCTGCTTCTGCTGCTTGTTTGCAATCATTGACGACAGTAATCTAGAAAGTGCTGAACGTAGTCAGTGCGAGTGTGTATGTGTTGTCAGTAAACAAAGAGCGAGAAGATGTGTCACTGCAAAGTGGGGGACTGGACTGCTCTTCGATAATCAGATGCACGCACGGCTGTTGTTTTATGAAAAAGCACTCAATTCGATAACGCACCAGTCTGGGTAAAAACCTGGTGTCTGTTGACAGTGTGAAGTGTTCAGGTTGAGGAGACCATGGTCGTGTCTTGACTGACTGGGAAGGCAGCTGCTGACAATCTGGTGCCTTCAGGTTTTCCAATATTTGACTGCCACACAGTGTGTATATGAGAGTGGGGCTAAGTGACTGCACCGATGGGGCAGGAAAATGTGTCAGCGTCAGTGCACGACAACCAAATGGCGGCTAAGCAAACACAGCAGTAGGGAAGACGAGCGCAGAGGAAGACAACCAGAGTGACAATGAAACACAGCAGCAGTTTGGTAACAGTGTAGCAGAACTCGCGGTCTGGTCTAGTCTTCTGTACTCTCTATTCTTCTCTTTGAGACGCTGGCTTGCTTGGAGGAGAACAGTGAACAGAATGACCAACACTACCAAAAGCAGTGGCAGCGGCAGCGGCAGCACCAGAATCACAAGACACTTGCGACGTGTGTGTCTCGATGATGGTGAGAGAACAAAGTGTGCAAAAGAAGAGACGGAATAGTGCGCCAGAGCAGTTCGCTGGCTGGCTGTCTGCTGGTAGAGTAGAGTAGAGTCGAATCGAGGAGCTGCAGCTGCGGGATTCAGTGTGTTCGCAGTGCGGCTAAGAACAGCAAACTGCCAAAACGGAAAAATAGGTGCGCGAGCAGCTGTAGTCGTCGTGGTGTAATGAAGCGAAAGAGTACAGTACAGTACGACAGTGCCAGTACATTGGGAAAAGAATGGCGGCAGTGAAAGGAAGGAGGACTGCTTCACCAGTGCCAGCAGTTGTTAGTCAGTGGAGAAAGAGAAATAAAGGAACATGCACTGAACATGAGTGAACGACTGAACGGAGTGAATGAGTGATGGCCACTACAGCGAGGAGGACAGAAGAGGACGACAGCAGAAACAGCAGTCGAAAGAGTGCCAATGGGCACCAGAGTGGAGCAAATGTCCGAAGAATGAGCAAGGCGCAGGCTCGCAGACGAATCAGGTGAGCAGCAGCAAAACGCTGCTGAGAGAACAGCCGAACAAACGAACAACGACACGAGTGAATGCAAAAGATTATCACTGCCTTTTCATTACGCGTGATGTATGTGAGCCTGAGAAAGAGTGTATGCTGCAATGCAAGTCATGAGAATAGCAATCTGAGCCGAGTGCTTAGTGCAGCAGTTGCTGCTTAGAATTGCGCAATGAGCCAGCGCAGAATGGCCATGGGAAAATACCTATCCACTGACGCTTTCAGTGCAGTGCCGTTTGTTAGCAGTGCACTTGAGCAGTGGTAGCTGTCTGCACTGGTGGCATCATATGAGCTGAATGAGTTGACTTTCGCTTCCCCAGAGAAGCCACGTGATTTTAACTCAGGCGACGGTACCACACACACCACCACCAGCACTGCTAAAGTGGAGGAGTATTGGTAAAAGTTGGCCACTTGGCAGTTGGCCCTGACTGTAGCAGCAGCTCGACCTAATAACCACCAGCTCTTGAACTGCGACCACCAGCCCACAGAGCATCACATGATCAGCCGAGGCGGCAGCCATTATGGCACACATATTGGCCAGTGCAGGCTCCCTTCACCCAGTGCAGCCAGAAAAAACTGATTGGCTTACTTAAAAGACAAACAGTGCATCGCTATAGCGGTTGTTGGTCTGTGGCTGTCTGCCACCCTGAGCACATGATCGTGATGATCGACAGTGAACAAGTATCGCACAGACAATCGCCGAAAATGGCGATGCTGCTGCTGGCTGCTGGGCTGCTCTTTTGTATAGCTCATTGTGACACATTGTCGAGTACGTGCTTAATGAACCGCCAAATAGCACTGTCAATTGTCATCTAAGAATAAAGATGGGAAACTAGACAGTTTTTTACTGTTCATCACAGTTGTCTTGCATAGGCATTCAATATTGACTTATAAGCAATGTAGCTTCACAGTGAAAATCGAATGTTCACTGTCCAATCAAAAACGTGGAAATGTTTCAAACTTACAATCTGATAGAAAAGAAAGCAAAATAGAAGGCCAAACGATTTACTGACTCATAGTAAGGAAAGAGTAAGAGGTAGTGCAATAAAAGAAAGCAAGGGAAAGAAGGAAGAAAAGTGATAGAATGTGCGTGCACAGGTGTCTGCTTGTGTTTGTGTGAGAGTGCACCGCAGCACAGACACTGCTGCGCCAGCTGCCTCAAGGCTAGATGGTAGTGAAGGTGGTGAAGGTAGTGTTACTGACGATGATGGTGGTGATGGTACATCCCAAGCTACTGCCTTCAGTCAGTGTGACGACACATCGAATGATCGACGAACGGAGAAAACAAACGGGAGAGAGAAAGAGAAAGAAGAGGTAGATAGATGAAGCAGGCAAACAGCAAAAGGGAGATTGATGAAAGCAAGCATGCATGCCACTTCATAATGCGGCGTCTGATAGGCTACAGTCGCCGATGTCATTGATGTTGCTGCTGCTTCAAGCGAGAACCACAGTTAGCTGCAGTACATGCTTGACTACAGTTTTTGGTTTGGTTGTAGCCTCTCTCTCTCTCTCTCTCTCTCTCTCATCCGCCGTCTGCTGTCATGCCTTATCACTGGTAAACAAATTTATTTTCTGTACCGCCTGTACCTCAGAGCTGCTGTACACACTGAAGCTTGAGCCCGCTTCCTCAGCCTGGTCAGCTTGCCATTTACCGCTTGAACTTCCTCGAAGGAAGCCACTCAGAAGAAGATAACCCGAGGAACACCATGAAGTCAGCCATTAACCTGTGCCTTTCGGCGTCTAGTCGACTTGGAGGTAAGTTGTTGTAGTTTAGTAAAACTAAAATATTCAAACCATCTTTCTTAACGACAGGACGACACTTCTCCAGCTCGTCGGCAAGCAACGCAAAAGTAGGTTTCATCGGCCTGGGAAACATGGGCAATCACATGGCCGGGTACGTGCAGAAGGGCGGCAACCAGTTGTTCGTGTACGACACAAACCCCGATGCAGTCAGACCGCTGGTGCTGCAGCATGACGCAGTGGTGGCCACCTCTCCCTCCGATCTGGCCAGCAAGGTTGACCGCCTGATAACGATGGTGCCCACGCCCAAGGACGTGCTCGAGGTGTACCTGGGCAAAGAGGGCGTCATCAGCGGTGGTCAGGCAAAGGCGGGCACCATTCTGGTAGACTCCAGCACCATCGACCCGACGACGGCGCAGACAGTGGCCAAAGAGGCGGCCAAGAGTGGACTGCACTTTGTGGACGCACCAGTGACCGGTGCAGTGCCCGGCGCCCGGGCAGGCACACTGACCTTCCTCGTTGGAGGCCCCGAAGAAACAGTTACCGCCGTGAAGGAGCTGTTGATGACCATGGGCAAAAACGTCATTCACTGCGGTCCAGTGGGCACCGGACAAGTGGCGAAAATCTGCAACAACATGCTACTGTCAGTTGTGCTCGTCGGCACCTCAGAAACGCTTAACCTTGGTGAACGCCTAGGCCTCGATCCGAAGCTGCTGACACAAATTCTCAACATCAGCTCAGGAAGATCTTGGGTGACTGAATCATACAACCCAGTGCCTGGCGTCGGAGAGCCCAGTCTGCCTGCCAGCAATGACTACACCGGCGGCTTTGGCTGCAAACTAATGGCAAAGGACCTGACGCTGGCGCAAACGATTGCCGTTCAGTCGCAAAGTCCCATTCCGATGGGCAGTCTGGCGGCGCAAGTGTACCGCCTGATGACCAACAACGGCTTCGCCGACAAAGACATGTCATATGCTTACCAGTTTTTCAAACAAAATGACCAAGTTTGACGAGACAACAAGTACTGACAAACTTACTGACAGCTGCTGCTTTCAACGACTGTTCAACTGCCCAACACACAGTGCGCTTTATCCTCCATCTTATCAGTGTCACTCTCAATGATCAAATGTCCAAAAATACCAAAATAAACCAAACCCTACAACTAGTACTGCTACATTGATACAGCCGATAGCTGAAGCATGTCATAATCAGAGTACAAGTACAGTGTGTTTGTAGTGTCCTGATAAAGAATGCCAAAAAGTGGCAAACTGTCCGGTCATTTAGTACAACAAAAAAGAAAAAACAAGTGCTTCAAAAAAGTAATCTATCATGTAGAAAAGAATGGAAATGCACTCACCTACGACCATCCATCTGCCTTGTTGTTATTGTCCAGCAGTGTCATCTTTTGTCCCCTTGTCAACCATGTGTGGCAGCAATTGAGTAAGTAGGAGTGTGCTGTACGACAACTTCAACGACGCCATCATTTCTTTCAGTTTAGTTTCGTCTGTAAACAAAGAGTGCAAAGACCAGATCAGTTTCACCGGCTTTTTTGAAAAGCATTTCTCTGGAAAACATGCACTGCCTCTGCCTCTATTCCATTAATAGAGCGCGCACACACCTGTTCTGTGAATAGCAGTGTCTACCAGCATGAGGGAATCCTCAGGGTAGCCTTCCCTCTCTTACCTCAAGGCTATTGATGAGAGTAAGAGAGAAAGTGAGAGAGAGAGTGCTTTCCTCTGCAGTCAAGTAGAGGCAGTGTTGAGGCTGCTGCCGCAACGGCCAATGTTGTTGTACTGTGATGTTCACCCAGATGACTTTGAGCGCTGCTGTGCTTGAATCTCTCGGGAGACTCCTGCCGCTGCTGCTGCTGTTGGCACCGTCTTGGCTGCAANAGTGCTTTCCTCTGCAGTCAAGTAGAGGCAGTGTTGAGGCTGCTGCCGCAACGGCCAATGTTGTCGTACTCGATGTTCACCCAGATGACTTTGAGCGCTGCTGTGTTTGAATCTCTCGGGAGACTCCTGCCGTTGCTGCTGCTGTTGGCACCGTCTTGGCTGCAAGTGTCACGTTGGGCTGATAAGTAGCTGTGGCTTGAAGCAAAGTGGCCTGCTGTACTTCTGCCTTCTGCGTCTGCCATCCATCAGTTAAGTAGGAGAGCAGAGATTGGCAGCACCTTTAAAAAGCTTCTCATCGGTAAACTGCAAATCCCATTCGCCGTCTTTCTCTCCATCTTTCTCTACTTCTACACTTCTGCCTCATCCCGACCATCATGTACCAACGTCGTCTCCTCACCAGCTCATGTGCCCGTCTCCTCTTTGGCGGTAAGTGTTGCCTTTTCCGCTGCTGCCACTGCCGCGGAATTTTCGTATTAATAACCTATTCTCGTCAACTGCGATGCTAACTTTACTCTTCCGCAGAAACCTGCCGTCGTACACTGACGCAGTCGGCGGTGAGCCACGCCAAAGTGGGATTTATAGGCCTGGGCAACATGGGCGCAAACATGGCAGACCACCTGCAAAAGGCAGGCCATGAGCTGGTCGTCTACGACAGCAATGTCGACGCTATGAAGTCATTCGTTCGCTTCGGCGCCAAGGCGGCCACCAGCGCCGCCGATCTCGCCGGCAAGGTGGACCGCGTCCTGACGATGGTGCCCACGCCGAAACACGTGCTGGAGGTGTACCTCGGCAAGGACGGCGTCATCAGCGGCGGTCAGGCGAAGAAAGGCACCATTCTCATCGACTCCAGCACCATTGACCCGGGCACGAGTCAACAGGTGTCGGCAGAGGCGCTCAAGGCAGGCCTGGAGTTTGTCGATGCGCCAGTGTCGGGGGCGGTGCCGGCGGCCCGTGCGGCGACCTTGACCTTCATGGTGGGCGGCAAAAAGGAGATTGTCGACGCCATTCGAGAGCTCCTCCTCGCCATGGGCAAAAACGTCATCCACACGGGAGGCGTTGGCACGGGCGTTACTGCCAAGCTGTGCAACAACATGCAGCTAGCAATTTCAATGATCGGAACTTCAGAGACGCTCAACCTGGGCGCACGACTCGGCCTTGATCCGCAGATGCTCACGCAGATTCTCAACATCAGCTCAGGAAGGACTTGGGTCTCCGAGGGCTACAACCCGGTGCCCAGTGTGGGTGATGAGAAGTTGCCCGCCAACCACGAGTATAAGGGCGGCTTTGGCACGGCGCTCATCGCCAAGGACCTCAATCTGGCGCAGTCCATTGCCGTTCAGTCACAGAGTCCAACGCCGATGGGCGCTCTTGCCTCTCAGATCTACCGAATGATGCTCAACAATGGAAAAGGCGACAAGGATTTTTCCTACGTGTATCAGTTCCTCAAGAACCAAGACAAATGAGGTGATGGTGCGTGTGTGTGATAAGCTTCTTATTGTGAATGTGTGGGTGTCCTTTTCTCTGCCATACAACTCCACTTCCCCAAAGGCGCATCAAAAGGGAGAATTCATGCCCAGTTTGGTGCCAAACTCCAGACGAGCTCGTCGTTGCTGTCTCGAGTACATCCTAAAATATAATAAAAACAATGTAAAATTACTTTGTCAACATTCCCCTTTGTACTACCTTATTTCCCGTCGTTTGGTGAACAAGTTGATGGACACCAGAAGAATGGGCCAGGTGACGCCGATGATCCACACGTAGAATGGCACTGTTTGCAGAAAGTTAATGACTATTTGCCGTTCGGGTACGTAGATCAAAATCTCAATGGTGCAGACGCAAATGTGAGAGGCGAGCAGCAAGAGCGAAGTGGATATCCAGCGGACGTTTTTCAGCGGGCTTCGTTCCCAAAGGAGGTGGTTCCGGTGAACGAAACCCATCGATATGATCACTGTGCCAATAATTACAATTATGAACACTTTTGTTCTGTTCAATAGCTAAATAGCTCTCTCAAGTGGTGGTACGTACCCAGATAGAGGACGAGAAAGAGGGAGGCAATGGTCTGTCCGATGAGTAAATGCGAAAGCCATATCATATCAGTGCGAATGTCACCGTCAGCTCTGGAAAATGATCATTATTATTAGCACTACCTAAATGCAAAACAGCACTCACTTGACGTCACTGAACATCCAACAGGGACCAAATGTCAAACTGCCCACCTTCGTCTGCCCACACGAGGTGCCAATGATGATGGCATACAGGCAGATGCAGATAATAATGGACGGCGCAAATTTGATGAAGTAACAGACAAAAAAGTAGACGATTGTCTGGTGGAGGAGGAGGACTGTGGTTTTAGTATAATGGAAAGCATAAATCGAAGATTACCTCTTTGTTGAGGTGCAACTTCTTGCCCGTGGCCACGTTCATGACGCTGGAGTCAGGCTGAGTGCCCATCAGCGAGACGCTGAGGATGGGTATGACGATGAGCGAGAGCCAGAGAACGTTGCCGGGCGAGAAGAGTGGCGGAAGGAAGAAGACCGAGGTGACCAGCTGGGCGAGTGACAGACTGAGACAGGAGCTGAGGAAGAACTGGAAGATGTTGCGCATTCGCATCATGTAGTCTCGAGCGTTCATTATCAGCTGGTAGAAGACGATGGCATTCTGGCGAGACATGGTCAGCGAACAGGGCAGTGTCACCAGCTGATTGGCCAGGTCAGTCGGACTGACAAAGTCCGTCGGCAGGTNGCGAGCGTTCATTATCAGCTGGTAGAAGACGATGGCATTCTGGCGAGACATGGTCAGCGAGCAGGGCAGTGCCACCAGCTGATTGGCCAGGTCAGTCGGACTGACAAAGTCCGTCGGCAGGTGCTCCGGCGGCATCGTGTCCGAGGGGCAGATTGGCTTGGTGATGCACACGTGCGGGTACATGGGGTCGATGCCAATGCTTTTATTAGGTGAACAAAAATGCATGTTAATTGTTATGTAGGTTGGTCAATAATAAAGGTCAAACATACCTGGCGTCAGCCTGCAGAAAGATGGGCAGATTGGACTCGTTGGCCATGCTGCCAATGACGCAGACCACCTCCTCGTACTCCTGCATAACCTTGATCATCTCCTTGGCAGTGTCCGGTGTGCAGTCGGTAAAGAGGGAGACGAGCAGCGGGACATTGTCGACGTTCTCCAGGTGCGGCCTAATGTTGTCGATACCCTTCGGCAGCTTCGCTCGGTTTGACATGTCAAATGCAATGGGCGCACTGTGATCAGTGTTGGTGCTGGCCGTCGTCACGCGACTCGGCGAGGGCGACATGTTTCGCTGCGGGTTCGGATGAGCCGAGTTTTTGCTGGCGCTGCGAAAGTCCCTGCTTCGACGAGCATTCGAGGTGACGCTCTCTGAACGCTCGCTGGACACTGAAAATGAGTTGTGCTTTCGACGACTCTTCATTTTGATTTCCTCTCGCAGCGCCTTTGCTCGCTCTTCAGAATCAGAAGAATCTGAAGAGGAGCTAGTCAGCTCTGAATTGCGACGACTGGATTTGGACTTGACTTGACCTATGAAACATAGAAACAGTGTTATTTGAGTTTTTCCCAATCATTTCACGCCTTTATTACCATTCTCATCGAGTTCATTATCTGAATCATTGAGCAGAGAGATATGGCAGTTCCAGCCCGATTCAAGGCCCATCTTCTCCGAGAACACTCTACTTCGAAGTTCATTTTCTTTGGAAAAGTGTACAAAGCGAATGCAAGCTAAAAAATAGTGACAAGGTTAACACAAAACTAAGCCATATTTCAAGGGTAACCATTTCTCACCTGCTTCAAGAAGCTCAATAAGTCGCACAAAGTCGGTGCACGCCTGGTACTGAAGGGTGGTCATGCCAATGAAGACCTCATTGATCACGTTCTTCATTGACTGCTCAATCTTCTGCGCATCCAGGCTGTTTGACTTTGGACGGAAAGCTCCTGCTGCTGGTGGCGCCTGTTGCGGTGCCGGTGTCGTCTCTTTACTATTCTCTCCTGCCCCATCATCCCCACCCCCTTGCACACTGAGCTGATTAGTTAAGGAGGAGTCCGCCTTGATGAGTGAATCAGAGCTGAGGTGATGTCCGAGCTGCTTAAACTTTGGATTGAGGTACATTGCATGGGTGTAGGCTTCACTGGGGTTGAGAAAGTTTGACTCCAGTGGGTGACTAGTGATGAGGTGCGAGTCAATGGCCAGGCCGCGAATCTTCGAGTCGAGCGTCCGCTGCAGCGGAAAGAGGTGACTACTGTCCGGCGGCAGCTCAATGTAGAAGTCATTGAGGTAGGGCGCAGTGGAGCTGAGCTGGAGCTGGGCGCTGTCGCTGGACTCGTTCACCAGCGGCTGGTAGCTGAAGGCAGTGCAGTAGGAGGTGAGCGAGGAACGCTGGTAAAAGTCCAGTATCTTCTTTCGCTCGTAGTCCGTCAGCATGACCAGACTCTGGCCGTTCCAGTACTCGGCACAGGTGTCCAACACCAGATCACCGGTGCCCTGGGAGAAGAGCTGCGCCGAGTTGGCCACCGTGTAATTGGTGACGGCGCAAGTCATGTTCGGAAAGGGCATCTTCAGTCGGGGAAAGTTCAGTGACTTCGCCAGTTTGCCCTTCTGAATCACCTCGGGGCGAATGTGCCGAAAGAGTGCCAGCTGGTAGCGGTACTCGTACGCCTTGAGGGCATCCGGAGTGAAGCCAATCTGCCGGGCCAGCTCACAGAGGCAGCGCTTGTTGATCACCGGCACCGCCACCTCGTTGTTCATCGACTCGCAGGCAATGTGGTCGCTAAACTGCACAAACTCCTCCTGTGTCCTGGGGTTGCAGGTGTTGAGCAGTATGGCCAGACCAAGTGGCTTCAGGTTGTTGAGAAAGCGGTCCCAGTACATGTCGTCAAACTGCAGTCCGTAGGCATTGTGCGTGTCGTGGGTGATGTCCAGCTGAACGCACTCGGCTCGAGGGTGGTTGGCTGCCATGAAACGAAAGCAAAAAAGTAACAACGTTAGAATGAGAACAAATCGACAAAAGACTATAATCACAATCGTGCGAGTTTGCATCGTGCATAACTGGTCGGAGATATCTATCAGCATTACCGGCAGCGTCCTCTGAGTAAGCATCCAGATCGGTGGTCGAGTGATGATGCTGCTGGCTGTGTTGGTGGTGGTGGTGATGAGAGTGATGCGAGTGATGGGAGTGCTCATCCTTTGAGTCCGAGTTGGGCGCCGTGAGGAAGAAGACCTTGTCTGCAGTTGGATTAGGCCAACTGAGAATGCCCTTCTTGTCGACGCAGCACAGGGCGGTAATGGAGCCAAAGACGTGCAGCAGATTTGCCGTCCGCCAGAGGTTTCCATTTTCGTTGTAGAGAAAGGCAAAGAGCTCATTGAGAAAACGCTTAACTGTCAGGTGCTCATTAGGAATAGAAAAGTTATCAGGGTCAACCTCCTCCAGAAAGTAGTCCTTGTTGTTCCACTGATTCGATGGACAGTCGCCGTTTGGGTTAAGCGGGTGCATACACTCGCCGTCGTTGCATTCGTCAGTTGAGAAGGAGTCATTACCTCGATAGCCATTGTGATTGGAAGCAACCGCTGCCTTGAGATGACCTTCATTTTTAGAAAAGGTCTCGTAGTTACTATCCAACCGGATTATTCCGTAGACATTGAGAATGAGCCAGAGGACGGGAAGGGCAAGGGGAAGCAGCGGAATGATGGCCATCACCGGTCGAAGGACAATGAGCACAATGGTGGCGGCACCGGTGTCTGTATTCTTGCCGGTGATCTCCACATAGCAGTAGTGAATGATACTGAAGAGTAGCACTGAGGTGAAAATGAGGGGCACTAGCATGTGCTCCAGGTAGCGAACAAAAATAAGGCGAAGCTCCTTCTCGAATGCCGTCGGAGTGATTCGAAGTGCGTGCACAGAAAGGGTGGCCTTCAGGTCGGTGATGTACGGCGTCTCGAGGATGAGGAACTTGCAAGGCTTCACCGCTTTCCGCAATCGAGGCAGTGTGAATGATTCAGGCGCATTGTCCACCTTTGGTGCAAATGTTTCGCCGCGAAGAAAGGTGCTGTCCTTGGCGGTCGTATCATCGAACCTGTAGGTGTACAGATTACTCAGCTCGTGCTGTTCGTGCTCTTCCGGTTTGCTGTCGCTTAGATTGTAGTCGCTTAGCTTCTTCTGCCGTTTCACGACCTTGTCAATTCGGCGACACTTGGCCGGCACTGTTCGTCCGGGATTGAGGAGGATGACGTCTCCAGTGACCAGAAGGGCAGTGGGCAAGTTGACTAGTTGGCCGTCTCTGTACGTCCACTGTAGGCTGATGCACGGTGAGGTGGGAGTATTTAGGGTAGGATAAAAGTTTCCACTGGCCCAGTTCTTTACCAGCTCTTCATTGGTGTAGCAGCACTTTAGCCTTTCGGCGAGCTTTTTCGCCTTGTTAAACAGCTCTAAATGACGAGATCTGGAGTTCCAGTATATGATGGCGCAATTGAGGAAAAGAACTAGTATGAGGATGATGCCTTCCACCATGAGCGGAAGTGATGAGGTGAAATGGCCGAACTCAAAGGCGAGAATGTAGGTGATAATTGCAAAGACAAGGGCGGCAATTGAAGTCCAGCGAAAGGTTGAGTAGATGCTACCGGTAGAGAAAGCCTGCCGAAGAACGATGCGCCATGACTGCGTATCGAGCAATCCGGGCTAAAAATAACGAAAACAAGCGCATAAGTAAAGATCGGGTAACGGTATCGCCTCGTGATTGTAGTACCTCAATATCAGTCAAAAAGTCGAAAACATCTTTGTACAGTCGGTAGATTGCCTGCTTGGTGGCCAGGCCGCCGGTCAGCTCATTGGAGGAGTCCAGGGAGAACATCATCAAAGCCGCTGCCCCTCAAGGTGATCCTAAATATTGCGGCAGTGATGTGGATACTAAGCAGAATCTTGCAGCGGTCAAGTGGCGGCAAAGCCAGTGTTTCAGTGCTGGAACAGCTGTCAAGGAGGGGCTCATCTTCATTCTTCTGCTCCGTGGGCTCCAAGTCGTCTACTGAAGCGAACTAATTGTGAGTATTCAGGTGAGATCAATCATCAAGGGTATTTTTACCTTGTTACTTTGGTGGGACTGCGACCGCTATTCAGAAGACATCACCAGAAGACGACAGACGGCAGAATAATCATGGCTTTGGCTCTGGTGGTGGCGGTGAAAGTAAACAGGCGAGAAAAAAATACTGCAGCAGAAGCAGTGAGGATCAGAAACAGAACAAAACAGAAAACAGCAGGCAAAGTGCGTGCTGTTTGTGCACATGCGTTCTGCCGGCGATAGCCTTCACGTTCAAATGCAGACAAAATATCTCTTCACTTTCGCATGTACACTTTGATCGTTCGATTTGAATTTCCAATAATTTGCTGGGGGTACCACTTGAGAAATGGAGAATATTGATATTCTGCGTAACCAGCACTCTACATGACCCCCTTCTCGATTTGGTGGTGACAAGAGGTGGTGACAGGTGACAATGATGGTGGTGATGGTGGAGTTTGATTGACAGAACAACAACACTGACACGTACGGTACAACAACGCCCTGAAAGAGTCAACGAAGGAAAGGTTTACCACTGTTTTACCACTGCTCACGTTTTTACCAAAGTTGCGATGTACAAAAAGGAATGCTTTTAGTTACCAGACAACGGTCCAGCGACGATAGTATCAAAAAGCACACCGGTAATCCAGGACAAACCGGCACGGCCGCTTTCTCTCTTTTCTTCTGACGTAGTTGAAGCAGTACAACGGCCATTTGGCTAATTAAATTAGACAGACAGAGAGGGACAAGGTTGCGGCAATGATGTCAGCTAACGAGGACTGGACAAGCAGTGAACTGGGTAAACACACTGAGTAATCTCTCTTCATTTGTGCGACACTTTTATGGTACTCTAAGTAGAGAAATAGACGTTTTCCCTCACCCTCTTCATCTGTTAATTCGTTTTTATTGAAGGCAATGCTGGCAAATATTTGCCTTCAATTTGTCGTTTGTGTATTTGCATTCGTTTAGTATTTAGGTTTTTTGTGGAAGAACGAAGTGCTGAAAAACTAAAATCGAATTGACAAATAAAATTCTGCACTGAAAGATGGCGCTAGCTTTCTCGTAAATATCGGAAAAAGTTGGCCGTTTTTCCCAAGTGACCCAAAAATATTGCTACAAAATCGATGATGATCATCTGCGTTTTCCTGTCGAGTTGACATTTGTGAACATGGACTGTCACTCGGACTAATGCTGAAATGGACGACATGAACAATAATGGAAAGAAAGTAAAGTAGAGATTAGTGTGTTTGAGTGTGTTCATGCTCGCTCGGCAGTGATGGCCACGACGGCGGCGATGGCACGTCTCTTCGAGGGATGAAGATGTGCATTGGTTATTGGTGCTTGATTTGGTGTCCCTTCTCGCTTCGTGCTTGCATGGCAATCATCACACAAACACACACACACAGACAGACATCCACAACCATCCTCCCCAGTTGCTTCTGCTTCTGCTGAATCTCTATCTAATCGCAGTCGGTCATCTGCTGGCTGTCTCCATCTAAATCGCCACATGATTGATCACTTCATTTAGGATCTTCTGGCTCAAACTCTTGTTCACTGTTGTTGTTCGCCGTGCTCTTCTTCTTCTTCTTCTTCAGTCTCGTTGGACAAATTGAGTCGTTCGATGGCGGGCACCGAGGCAGACAGATTCAGCAGATGCCAGGTGCCAGGCAGATAGATCGAAGAGGCAGCAGCCGAAAACGAAGACGATCGCACACAGAAGCGCTACTGAATATATTTTGTGGCAGCAGTATTGTCTCCAGCAATGTCAGCCAATTTACTGGCTTATTAAGATTTAATTTAATCGGACACACATTGTGACGGAGGAGGACGATGATGGCGACGAGGACCATCAATAACTGCGGCTGCTAATTTGATGAGTAGTAGTGAGTTTGGCCAATGCAGCATTTGTCCTGCAAATTGTTTGCTGGAATGCCACCACCGCTACTTTTCCTTTTATATTCTTTTTTATTATCTCTTCACAGCAATTACCGCCGCCACTCTAATTGGCCTCGTCTCTTTCTGGTCTTTTCACCTTCTTCAATCATCATCACCATCATCTACCTCCTAATTCAATTTGCACGCCGTTTGCACCGATTCAATGAGGACCCTTTTCGGGCCATCCATTACCGGCTAATCAGAGCCACTACTTTGTTTGTTTGTTTGTTTGTCCGACTGCTCGTGTCACACTGCTGCTCCTGCTGCTGTTGCTGCCGCCGCTGATTTCGGATGTCTTCATCCTCAATGGCTTGCTAGGGTACAGAGACCGGTGTTGCTCTTGTTGTGGTTGTTGTTGTCTCCGTGGTCTAGTGCATTGTTTGTCTGCAACATTCTCGTGTCTGTGGCCCAGCGAGTGGCCACGGCGAGTCATTGCGATTGCCCTGCTCTCCACAGTCTTTCTCTTTCTCTTGCGTTTTGTTTCGATCAATTGCCCCTTGTGTGTGTGTGAGTCTTCACACCTCCTTACGCTGCCATTGTCTTTGCTGTTTATACCACAGCACACACTTTGATTATCATCTTATTAAATTCTCATAAATCAAGCCGGACTGACAGTGGCAGTGCACCTTCTGTGTGTGTCTGTGTGAAGAACAAATCGACGGAGAAGTGGGCAACCTCAGCTGTGCAGTCACAAATGGCGGTGCTGACCACCAAATGAATTTACCCGGGCAGTCTCTTTCTTTGCATCTTCCGTCATTGCCATTGTGGACTATGGACATAGCTGGCCATTAGTGAGCAAAGCAAACCAGCGCTCCAGTGGTCAACTGCGCCAATAGACATTCAAAGATCCGGTCTCCATTCAACTGTAAGAAGGAATAAAAGTTGATGATTTATGCACCTCTTTCTTTACCGGGCAGTGGTCATCATCCTCGTGATTTCAATCTATTATGTCTTCCTTTGCATCATCAGCCTCTT